ATATTATAATGGTTAAAGATTTTACATTCACTATATTTCTCTATCTTACTTGCTAGGAAAAGCCTTACGCTCTATATTTCTAGTAAGATGAAAAAAAATTGGCATATAATTGCTCTTATAGGATCATTTTGTAGTACATCTATTAAGACAAGGAGTCTTGTTTTGTTTTGTTTTTGGTAAGGTTTGATGTTTTATATTTAAGTCAACGAAATCACAAGGTTTAAATATTCAGTAATCAAATTCAATTCAATTCAATTCTTTGTTATGTAGCTTTTAGTTGCTTTTAGTTTAGTTTTTAGGCACAGTTCACCAATATCGTGTAGAATGGAGAAGATTTAATCATCAAATTTTATTGGATGTTTTTCATTGACATAATATTATAATCATTCATACTTGAATTTATTTATCTCTACTATTTACTTTTTTGCCAGTACAAACTTTGATTTTCACTTGAAGCTTTGATACAATTGAAATCAAAAAATAATACATAGAAATAAAATTAAGCAAAAGAGAACGACACATATCCAACAGTCAAGATGTAGATAATAATACTGGCTCAAAAAGATAAATGGAACGAAGGTGTCCGAGATTCAACCCTCATCAAAAAGAGATGTAGTTCAACCAATACCACATATGTAATCTTTAGAAGGACTATAATAATATATTTCAAACAAAATTTTCCCGGTTTCAAACCCGGTTTTGTTAATACTTTCTTATAATAATTTTTATTTAAAACCGGTTTTGTTAAATTTAGATACAAGATCCATTATATTTATGTCATCACTGCCTGATTAGTTAAATCAACTTATGGAAAGCTTAGTCAGGTCAGATTTTGAGGTCCGTTCGAGTCTCAAATTCAGCCAAGTTATTTGGTTTTTTTAGTAGAAAGTTCAGAATTAGACCGGTATTAGAAAATTGGTGGTCTATTGACTTTATAATGCGGAAAGTACGTAAAGCTGTAAGATCTGTACCCTCTTTTTAATAAATATTTGGTTACTTTCATATCTCGTTGAGATAGTTAAATGACAAATTTCACTCCAGAATAAGAAAAAATTACATTATTCAGATCGTATTGCATAGTAGGTATTATCTATACTATAATATTATAAAGAGGTAAAGTTTGTGAGATTGTGAGTTTGTGATATTGTAGGGAGTAATTTCTGGATCTATTGAACCAATTTAGATGAAATTTGATAAGAAGATAGTTTGAGACACACGCAAATATAAAAACTACTAATAAAAACTAGCTCAATTTAATTTCAGTAATACCAATATTGAAAGTCGAATATAGGCTTACACTTTTCATTTGAAACCGCTGACAAAGTCTATTGAAAACAGATTATTTCATTTTAAACCACAGATAGATTGGACTTGATTAAAAAATGACAAGTGTACATAGATACTATACCTATTTATTTTAAACTGTGCAAACATTTTTAGTTAGATTTTGTTTACAAATAAACTTTTTTATTAACGATTGGTACAACTAAAATTAACCTAGATATTATAAATATACATTCTGATTTAATGTTTAAACATTGTTATTACTTATTATAGTAGGCAATTATTTTATACTAGCAACTCACCCTTGCTCCGCTCGGGTTCGTCCCTAGTTTAGCTCAGAGATGAGATATTTTCCTGCAGTAAAAAGTATCCTATATATACCCTATATATATACCCTATATAATACCCGGATAACCAGCTATTATCGTACCAAATTTCATCAAGACTTCCAGTGGCTTTTCCGTGATGCGGTTATAGACAGACAGATAAAAAGACAAACAGACAAAAATTCTAAAAACTATAGATTCGGCCTCTGTATCGATAATAATGTCTATTTCAATAAGATTTTCCCAACAATATTTAATGTACAGATTTGACTCAGACATAATTTTATTACATGTATAGATTTGTGGGCGAAGCCGCGAGCAATGCTAGTATTTTATACAACTAAGCTAACGAAAGTGAAGGACTTGACAGGGGTGGTTTACAGTTATACGAGTACATCCTCTATAGAAGTCGAATAAAAGATTACTTAACTCGAAGTTGATGAACGTAAGAAGTTATACGTATAAGACGGTGTTTAACTAAACTAAACCAATAGCAGGTAACAAAAGGACGAAATTTTGACAGCGTTTCCCTATAATGAGATAGAGGTAATTCATAAAGTGTTTTTTTATAATTGTACACTCGGAACACCTTAAAATTTGAAGTGTTAATAATTTTGATTTATATGCAAAAATTTATGAAGTGTCAACTGAAAAAAAAACATCATTCAAAGCCGATACAGGTGTTAGCTTGTAATAAATCTGGTAATAAATATTATTTTATATTCATTAATTATTGCTTTGTTTGTTGCAACGAACAAAGCCACAGACTATCAGAATATATCAAATAAATTAAATGATAGATCAAAAATTGATCATCATGCATTAATAACTAAATCGTCGACCGAAAGCTATTATAAGGTGATGGGATAAATATTCTTCCCAATGAAAATTACGCTAAAATATTTGATGTACACACAGACAATGTGATCTGTTAAAGCGAGTTCTCGAACTGTTTTCGAATGAACTGTTCGAGTTAAAAGTAAATATTCGTAGCATCCGGGAAGTCAAACAATCATCTAGAAATCGCGTTTAAGTATAGCACACGCGTTCAAACAGTATATTATGGTGTAATGATTTAATATATAAAATACTAGCAGACCCCGCGGCTTCGCTCGTGCTAAAACTACAGAAAAACTCCAAAAAATTAGGTTTAATACAAACTTTTATTTCCTAGTTTACCCTCTTATGGGATGAATTTCGAAAAACGTTAAAACACGTATTTATTTAATTGTATTGAAGAGCATTAATACCAAGTTTCATGTTATTCTGATCATAAATAATTTTTGGGTTGTATTATAATGTGTTTTCCCAATTACAACTATCTCCACACAAAAAATCACGTCCATCCGTCTTTCCGTTTTGACGTGAAACAAACAAACAAACAAACACTTTCACATTTATAATATTAGTATGGATTTATTTACTACAAAAGGAAATTTTAATAATACAAAATTGACAAGAATATAATAATATTATAGTGAGGTCATACTACAGTTAACCTAAGAAACATCAGTTTTCATAGCATTTTTTGACGTAACCACACATCTTCTAAAACAAATCCGCTTCAAAATTGTTCCTTTGTATGATAATAGAACTATAAAGCTTAACTGATTTTAGTGCAACTCAGAATGGAAATAACTTATAAGTAATTTCGATTAATATATTATATATATATGGATTTCCGTTTCACGTTGCAATGAATAGTTAAAACTTGTAATAAATCGAATATACGTATTATAGAGAAAGTCAAATTTCATTCACGAACGTTCAGGAAGCGTGCGCCAAACAAAATACCGATGCCCTACTCTTGAAGGAAATACAATAATTTGAACGTGTCTATACGATTTGTCGCATTGCAGCTGCTTGAAGTGGATTTTTCAATATTCAAGTCGAATGTTTGATATTTTGCATTAGTCACTTTGTTGGTGTACATGTTATTGGTAACAAATATGCGCTTATTTATTATTCGTGAGTAAAGATAAAGTAGTAGTGGAGTTTACCGCTTTGCTCTGAAAAAAAAAGATATATTTTGACTAAAATATTTATTACGTACGATATTTTGATAGCTATCGAGAATTTTTACTACAAAATTCACAGTATTTTAATTTAAATGCATAATATGTGCGTTTCAATAGCGATTCACCTTCGCTTCGCTCGGGTTCATCCATACGTACATTTTGACGCTTAGTATGGAATATATAGAATATAATATATACATAGGTATGATGAGTTTTATATCCCTTACTTGAGAAAGGATCAATTCCTTATATAAATTTTCACCCCCTTAAGGTATGAAATCCGGGATAAAATTATCATGCTCTTTCCAGGGTCTCAAACTATCTCTATACCAAATTTCATCTTAACCAGTTCAGCGTGATAGATCGGTTAAATATGAATTATACTCAGATATGGGGAAGCTGTATAACAAAGGCGAGTTTGAACCTACATCTTTACAATTCGCCGTCCTATTAATTCATATAAATATTCTCTATATATATATATATATATATATATATATATATATATATATATATATATATATATATATATAGGATATTTATATGAATTAATAGGACGGCAGTAATAATAACATGCAAAATAATTTTGTTAAAGTTGTCGGATATCTCGAGGAAGTAATAATATACAGTCCACTTCTGTGGGCGTGGGTTCGAATCCCACTTCTGATGTCGTGTTATCCATATACTACGAACATCATCTTTAGTGGTTACTCATCTTGTGGGCGTTATCAGGGCTCAAATAATAAAGTATTCAGTGCTCAATACACAATTTAATCAGGGAAGTCACAATGTTATAAACTTGAAACGGTAATTCTAATGATTTAGAGCTAGCGGGTTCACAGTCACCGATCATCGACTTCCAACTACAATATCAAACATAACTGATTCACCATGATATGATAACCAACGTTACTAACCCACATATCTCCAAAGAATGTCGTGATGGCGTCTCGACCCCGCTCGAGACTAAATCTCTGCTCTAAATTCAAAAGCACTAAAAAGTAAATTAAAGAACATAGTGACTTTAAACAAAAATAAGGTTTCATAACAGAAAAAGGTAACTAAATCCTCCTCCGTCTTATATATATATATATATATATATATATATATATATATATATATATATATATATATATATATATATATATATATAACATACTTCACTTACCTTATGATTAATTTAAACAAATTAATCTAACTTAAATTAATAAACCCTAACAATACATTTAAATCCCAAAATCAAACTAATTTTCTATGACCGCTGCTTTCTAAATGATATTTAATCGTTCAAAAAGTCTGTCTATGTACATAACTTATATTTTTTTAATTAAATATCATACATGAATAAATTTATAAAACCAATCTTTCACAGAGGCTTTTCGGTGGTGGCACCTGAAGTTGCAGTGCCGGGTAAAACGACAGCCGTACTCGTGACTCTACACGGTAGAGCGGGAGATGAAACACTGGACCCTCTCAACGTGACTGTTAGACTCGAGACTCAAGATGCTGATAACGACGTCAAGCTGTTGACCACTGCAAGTCAAATGATTACAGGTACGAGTGATTTCCATAGTAGCCTATTTATTTTTCAGCTGATAATATTCTCGTATATATTAATGTATACGCATTACGTCGATTTGTATCGAAGCAAATAAACGAATTATAATTAATAAAATTAAAATTATAACGGTTATAAATAATAAGAAAATAAAAATAAAATAAATATTATAGAATTATGTTTAAATAAAACTTCTAATATAGAAGGCAAATGTATTATACGTATTATTAAATATTTTTTGTTGTGATCTAAAAGTACCTTTTTGCTATCTTTCTATCGTAAGAAGCTTAAACGCTGTGTGTTACCTAAAAATATATAAAAAAAATTGTAAATCTATAATATATAAAAGAAAATCGGACTAGTTACACCATTTATAACTCAAGAACGGCTGTACCGAATTTATTATCTTTAATTTAGTTGGGTTTGCACCCGTCTCGAATAGCAAAATAAACTATTAACACATCGGAAAAACTCACAAAAAAAAATAAAATTTACATGGCTAACGTTGGCTAATAACTATTTATATCTGTTTAAAACGTACCTAAGGACGAACCCAATGTAAAACCTTTTCATATGTTTTAGCTAATTGCCACTATTTGCAAAAGCCATGAACAGTCTGTCTTTTATATCCACATTCAATATACTACACATTCAATGATATAATCCCCATACTAGTATCGAACATCGATATATATCGATAGTATTGATTATACTCGAATTTTAAGTACATAATTATCTCTGAATTACACAAATGTGATCAAATCGCTTTCATTTATTTGGTCAAAACATTTTGTACGTCGTTATGATGGTTGCATTTTATTTTTATTTAAATGCCTATCAAGTTACATTATTTCTTAGACATATCTATAGTACATCTTACAAAGGATATGAATTTCTTTCCTTTGAAAATTTTTATTTCGTTCATAATCCAATGTCATGGTTTATCCGCATTATGTACGATGGGTTATTTTTGCCATTAATTATTATCTCGAATGTTATCATATCTAGAAACTGCATAAAGTATTTTCTTGCAAAAACACGTTTGTAAAGGGAAATCTCACAAATATTTTAATTAAAAAAAAGCAATGGCTTTATTAAAAAAATTGCTTATTTAAATCTGAAACATGGCTGTTTTAAACAATTCAATAGAAGCCATAACAGTTTGTCTTTCATCATAACGAAGCTTGTAGCTAAACTTGTGCAAATTTATAAGCCGCTAGTGTTGCATATGCTAGTCTACTTTGAAAGTTGTCACACGTAGAGTGAACTCTGGGGGTTTCTCTGGCAGACAGAATTTAAACTGAAGTCATTCACCAGAAAACTAAAGTAAACGACATTGCGCACAGAATAAGCTCGCAGAAGTGGAAGTGGGCAGGTCATTTCTTCAGATGTACTGAGGTTCGACGACGCGTGTTAAAGTGGACCGTATTTAGGCAAGTGCAGTATAAGACGCCCTGCAGCACAGTGGACTGATAGCCTAGGGAAGGTGGCGAGCTTGGTGACTTCAAATCCGTAGCTGTACATTCCAGCTACTACATCAATAAGGCGGCGTATTCTAATATAGGTAGAAAGTGACAGCAAAATAATAATTCACTGAATTCTTTATTTTGTATGCGTGAAGTTCAGTAAACTTTAAATTATAGGTTAATTAGACGGCACGTTTGGCTCAATTGGTAGTGACTCTACTTGCTGTGCCAGCGATCGCGGGTTCGAGTCCCGCTGGGGGCATTCATTTGTGTGATGAGCACTAATGTTTGTACTCAAGTCACTTGTATAAACTATCTGGTATCCATAACACAAGCCTTGTTGTAGCTTACCATGGAACTAGATGATGCTGTGTGTTAATGTCCCAACATATATTTCCCAATTTATATATTTTTTTAAATTTCTCTAACTTTATAATACAAAAGATACAATCTCTTTAATTAATGTAGTGTGAGAAGCAAGACCATACAATGTGAAATTTACTGCGAAAGCTGTTCATAAATAAAACTAACCCATGTAACATACAAATTTAAGTTTTGTTTATTTTACTCAACCGATATGCTGCTATAAAATTACTACTCTCCTAGCGACTTTTTCGTGCTTCGTTCAGGTGCATTCCTTGAAGCTTTATTGCTCAAGTGTTACTCCAGGTCAAAGTCTATAGAATATAAGCGTACTAAATTACATCCAAATCTGTTCAGCCGTTTCTACGTGAAGTGACACACATACGTAAATAACCTCTCGTATTTATAATAATACTTTGATTTGGTTATTTTCAATCACTATTCTATATATACTAATGACAGTTCTATGAAGTACTTTCATCATATTTTATCTCAATCAGGCGGCATCATCATCAACATCTATAAAGCAATAAAAAAATACACCTCGCAAGAATAAACCGTTATCTTCCACATAATAATCAATGCCAATAATATAATGAAATAAAACAACGTTGCAATAGCTGTCGTATACTTATATGTATATATTGGGTTTCTAAATCTAAAAGTTTTTAAACTGACTTCACCAAAGTTAAGCAAAGCTCGTGTAAATGAATATAGTGTGAGTTGCACTGTCACGTACATTCTCGAAACTTGGTCATAAATATAACTTCCTCGAGATATCCGACAACTTTAACAAAATTATTTTGCATGTTATAAGTTTACGAAGAGCGTACGCCGTAAAAGTGTTTCCTTCGGTATAGTGAATTATCGATGTGGAAGTTTCTGTGTAGTGGTGCATATTTTTCATATTCCTTAACTCTTGCTCTTTCATTTATAAAAGCTTAAAAGTATATTTGACATGGGATAATCTATGTTTTATAATATAAATTTATACTTTCGTAGTTTTACTTCTAATGCACGAATGGCAAAATTTTATAGTTGCAATCCGCTCGATTTTTAAAAATTTTTACTTTAGGTATACTTCCAGTGAGATATGGGATGAACTTCATTTAAATCTACTCTACCTAATATTTGTATCTATACAAAATTTAATAAGGATAGAGCTAAAAATTGAATTCTAAAAAAAATCGATGGTTTCTAGTAAAACCTGGTTTAGGACTCATTTAATTGGTTTTATCAAGTCCATATATTACTGTTCTTTAAAAGCCTATTTTTAGTTGTCAAAAACTATTCTTATTAAATTAATTGAAGTCTAACGGACAGTGTAAAGAAAAACAAACATCAATCCACTGTGACTGTAACAAATGTCTATAAATATCTACTCTATATAGAACCAACCCATGTTCTCCATGATCCCATGTTGACTGATTAATATAATAAATCAATGTACACAACATTTCATTGGACTTAAAGAGTAAATGTTTTGGAAATATATTTACAGCCAGCTATTAAAAAAGTATGTAATTTAAATCCAGAAAAACTATAGCATTGCAAAGTTTATATAGAAAGTTATCTTATAATGACCTCTCTTAGACACAAATAATGGTATATGTATAAAAATGCACGTGTGAAGATAAATCAAGTCAACAACAATCAATATTATTCACACAGTAAGAATCGAACCCACTACTACAATAATAAATATAATAATAAATAAGTATGTTAAGACACACAGCCCCATCTAGTTCCAGGGTAAGCTATGAGGCTTGTGTTATGAATACCAGATAGTTGGATACACTACACATAAATAACTTTAAATACATACGTAATATAAATATAAACACCCACGATTGGAGTACAAACATTCGTGCTCATCACATAAATAAATGCCCTCAGCGGGACTCGAACCCGCCACCGCTGGCACTACAACTGAGCCAAACGTGTCGTCAAAAAATAGGTGAATCAATTATATGATCAAAAAATTATGAAGACTAATATTATGAAGATAAAAAAATTATATTGTGAAAATTAAATAACTTTGTTTTATATTTTTGTTAGTTATTTTAGATAATTGTGTTATACTCTGAATATTATGTTACATTTCATACTATTATATTAAAATCATACGTGCCATTACCTTAATAATTGAATGTTGAATAATTAATAGTAAATAATCGCAATTTAATGAATGTTATAATAATTTTATTATTCAGCCCTTTAATGCGAGGGGGATAAAGCTAGTCAGACTCTTTCGGCCATGCAGCTTTCCTCGCGATATATATATATATATATATATATATATATATATATATATATATATATATATATATATATATATATACTCGTATGTGGAAAATTAGCCAACTGCGCTGGAGATATTATAGTGCTCAAATGTACGCGCAGACACAAGTGCACTCTCTATTCCTATCACTCTCATACTCCGGTGGGACGACCACTCGACACGACCGGTGAGAGTTAAGGCGCAGGACCGACGGCTTTACGTGCTCTCCGAGGCACGGGGGTGAAACACCGCCAACTTCTCAACTCCGGGATGTTACTGAGACTTACTATACAGAAAGACTCAATAACTAAACTTGGCCTGACCCGGGACTCGAACCCAGGACCTCCGGATATGCAGCCGTACATGCTAGCCACTACACCACTGAGGCAGTTAAAGGGTTAGTTACTACATACTTGTTATTATATCGCAAATTAATTGACTTTAAAATAACATAATTTAAATTGTCTTTAATTTTTATAAGCCAATTCATTTAAAAAAAAAATATTCACAAAAGAATTCACTCATTTTCGCTAAAAATTGTTTTTTACGTGATTGTGTGATAATATACACAAAATAAAACAGAATAGGTGAAAATTAACTATTATAGATGGACATACAGCTACATAAAAAGTTATATGAAAATTCAGCTTTTCATCAAACTTATATGGATTACGAATACAGGCCGGACCCGTAAAACAGGTATTTTAATATTTTACCTTTAAATATTCAACAAGCAGAGTGCTGTCAAAGATAAAACGAAAAGTAAAAAAGCAACGTAAAATAATCCTATTTATTTTTATTATAAATATGTATATAAAATAAATCTTTATAAAATACGTAGAAATGATAGTGATAATAGAAATATTCAGAATAATATCAATTTACG